GGCGGGTGGACGCTCAGGGGCGGGTGGACGCTCAGAGCAGCACAGAGCCCTGAGTGGTGGGGAGCAAATGAAGAGCACACAACGACTCTGAAAGATGCTTGGAGGTGTCAAGATGGGGCATGCGGGTCACTGGGACAGAAAGACCTGTAGGTGTTTGGACCACCTAGACAAGTGTGCCGCCAGCGACTCAGCAGGGCACTGTCCTGGCTGCCCGAGGTCCAGGCCCCTTCCCGCCTTCAACAGCCAACCAAAGCTCTGAGGGCCCCAAGTCACTGGACAGCTGCTGCTCCAAGACACGACCGTCTCCTCCTGTGGCAGTCACCGGGAAGAGGCCAGCAGCAGCAGCTGCACGTCCAGACTTCGAGAGCCTCCGGGGAGAGCAGTGGCAGTGACACGCGGGGCTTCCACAGGGCCCCACTCCCAGCTAATTACCTCAGCCAGGCGTGGTGGCGCCCTCCTGTCACCCAGCACCTGGGAGGCTGAGGCAGGAAATCACCACGGGTTCCAGGGCAGCCTACCCTACATAGTGAGACCCTGCCTCAGGAAAAGAAACCTTAGAAAACTAATGTTTGGTAGGGTGTAGTGAAAGCTATGACGCTGCAGTGGGCCGCATTCTGACACCCAGGGTAGTGTCTCTTCAGAACCTCACAGCTCTTTTTAACTTTGTGTCTCAGGAGAAGAAAACCTCCTGGCGATTCTGCGGCGGAGATGGTGGAAGTACATGATCCTGGGCCTCATCGACCTGGAGGCCAACTACCTGGTGGTGAAGGCCTACCAGTACACCACGCTGACCAGCATCCAGGTACACCCTGCCCTGCGCCTGGGGTCGTGCGGCCCCACTGCTACTCTAGAAGTCGTGCAATAGGAGAGAGATGGGTTGTGTAAAAGTGAACTTCAGCTTCATATCTTTTTCATTAATTTTCTTAATTCAAGTGTAACTGGACAACTTTTTCCTCTTCATTCTGAATATGCCATGATAGCCACTGATAATGCAGGAAAGTAATTTATGGCTTCAAATGTTGCCAACTCATCTCATGCCAGCAGAATTATTAGTAAGAGTAAAAATAAATCTATTTTTATCATAACTTTTTAGAATGTTAGTAGACTAATCAAGCTGCTTAATAATCTTCTCTTTTAGCTTATTTTTAATATGTAAAATTTAGCATCTGAAGGAAAAGATGAGGGATGTGGATAACATTCCCAAATGCACTCATGAAGATGGCTACTGAGCTCTGTCTTCTGCCCCTCCCCTCCTCCTCCTCCTCCTCCTCCTCTCTCCCTCTGTCTCTCACACACAGGAAGACAGGTACACACACTCATACACGTGCAAGTTTAATCTAGCTTTTCAAGGGTGCAGTCGTCAAATGCTGTAAATGGAAAGCTTGACTGTATTATCTGCACGCACCACCTTATTTCTCTTTGTGTGGAGATATGATGAAGCTCATAGCCACTCCAAAGCCCCGGAAAACAATAAACAAAACGTATTAGATGTAACTTAGATTTGATACTTCAACAAAATTCCAGCCATACTGGTAATTTTCCTGGGATCCACAGTAATAAAAATGGATGAACAAGCTAACCAAGCACCTAAATAAATCTAAAGCTGATAGGTCAGATGATAGAACCCTAATTTAACTTCCCTACCACGTGATTCGCAAAGGAACTTCAGAGCTGAAGTTTCAGCCTGCGTTCACTGCTAGAGCACTTGCTTGCGATCGGAAACTTTACAATGAAAGTTCACAGGCTGGCAGTTCTGGGGTGGAAATTCCCATCAGGAGCCGCGGAGCCTTCCTGCCCGGTCCTCCTCCGCGGAGGGGAGAGCACAGGCGAGGCGTGCGCACCGTGCAGGGGCGGGCCCGCGTGTCCGTGTCCGTGCCCGTGCCCGCCGAGGCACCGCCCACTTCCCCGCGAGCTCTCAAGCAGGCAGCGCCCAACCTGCGGGTGGCCTGGGTGGATGCGTCTGCATCTGCCCCTCACACGCAGAGCCGAGCCCGAGGTGTCGCCCGCGGATCTGAGCTCTGGACACAACACCGTCCTGGGCCACGGGCCAGCAGTGAGGAGCCCGACCGCGGCACTCAATTGGAGTGCAGTGTCTGTAATCCTCGCGTGGGGAGCAAGGCCTCAGTCCCGGCCTTTCCTCCAGTTTTAAGGGTCCTACTCATCCCAAGGTTGGTTTTCTTACTTCTTTTTTTTTCAACTCTTCCTCTATGCACGATATATAACATTCTTTTTGGTTAAAAATAGGTTAGGACCTGCGTGTTTCCATATTATCTCTGTATCCGTGGTTCTTGGTAAGATTTGACAGACCTTTTAAAAGCATGAATTACGGCTTCTTAAAAATAATTATAAGTCATCTGGATACAGCATTGTGCATAAATTAGCGAGAACACTTTATTTTTTTGGTACCGAGAATCAAACTCAGGACCTTGAGCTTCCAGGTGGGCACTGTGCCCCTGAGCTATCTCCCCAGCCCATGTGCATAAATGAGCATTGAGACACATACATGAAATATAAATATGGCTAACCCCTCACCTTAAGAGTCCCTTATTTACATTTGCTTTGTCTTGTTTTTCAAAGATCTCACTGAATTTCAAAGAAAACACACACACAAGACAGCTGCAAACTCCAAAGGGAGAAAGATCAAGCTCTTGACCCATAAGAGGGGCTGTTTTGTGTCTCTGTGTACACACTTCCTTACAATACAGCTCTGACATACAAAAGCCTGCCAGACAAGTCATAGTCACACTTTACATATTGTTCATCCGACAGATGGGTTTCCTGAACTGAGTCCATTTACCACAGATTTACTCTTTAAAGCCTTTTGAGTATTTTCAGTGATAAATGTACTGAGAAAAATGATGGAAGCCAAAGTCTCAGGAGTGTTCTCTTTGTATACATCGACACCATCGTTCAGTAAAATCCATGACCTGGAGCTGCCCTAAGAAAGCAGCTTTCTCTGCCCACTTCTCTTTCCTTTGTCTTTTTTTTTCCTACTAGAAACAAGGTATAAGAATGAGCTGTCCTAATACAGTGGCCCATAGAACAAAAAGTTCCACACACACACAGGAGTGTGGACTCACACACACACACAGAAACGCAGACACACACACAGGCACATGGGAACACACACAGGCACACGGGGACATGCACAGGCACATGGACACACACAGGAACGTGGACACATACACAGGCATGCAGACACACATGGGCACGCAGACACACACACGGGAACACTGACACACACACAGGCACACGGATACACATAGGAACACGGACACACACAGTGACATGGACACACGCACACCACACTGCATTTCCTCCTGAACAGCTCTGCTCAAGCTTTCTGCAGGAGCAGGAACACCCCTCTCTCCTCCAGCCACGCCCCACGGAGATCTTACTCAAGGCCCTTTCTCACCCAGGGTGCTTGGAGACCTAGCGTGAGAATGCCCACTGGCCCCACCTGTGAGGAAAGGGGCTTTATTGCTTCTGATAACTGGGACATCTGGAAGGACAGTCAGCCCACAGGGCCGCGGGCCACTTGTCTTTGGGCACGTCCAGGCGCCCAGTGTCCATCCTCCTCTCTGACACTCCTGCTCGATTCATCCTAAAGCAGGCCTCTCTGCTGGTCACACAGGGCAGGGGTGGGGGCTGCCTGCCTATTCCTTCCTGACCAGTGATAGACAGAAAAGACGTTGGCTATACCACTGAGCAAGAGTCCAGAGCTCTATTCTGATTGGACAATGCTAATTGCTAAAGAAATGCTGTGAGTTCATTGGCTTAGACCTGGGCTCTCTGAGCCAATAGAGTAAGATTTCTCTCTTTGGCTTAGACAGATGCTTCCTTACAGGCTACCACTGACATTTAGAGTGGGGCAGTACCCAATCTCAGAGTTAGGAGGGAGCTAGCGCTGCCCAGTCACAGATCCGTCACCCACGGAGGGAAGGGCGAGGCAGGCGGGTGCAGGAGGCCCAGCCACAGTGTCTGCACACGTCACTCCCACAGACCCTGTGATGAGAACAGATCTCAGTCTCATGACCTAGCAGGCCTTTGGCTGCAGCTCTTCAGTCTCTTACCTGAGAGTAACATTCACACGCACTGTCTCCTCACCAAGCTGCGAGCTCTTCCCCAGCAAGCACAGTGCTTGTCCACCTCAGGACCTCTGCACCTGCGGAGAACCCGGCAAACCCCAGATGATGAGCGTCTAGCGAGCTTGACTGCGCAGCTCAGAGAGACGTTCAGGGAGAGTGCGGGGTTCCCGAGCTACAGAGCGGGTCCAGGAGCCAAGGGGCAAGCCTGTAAATGGAGGTCCCTGTAAACGGAGGGGAACAGAAGTGACTTGCCCTGAGAAACATATTTGATTTTTTCTTTATATTTCTTTCTCTTTTGTTCCATTGAGAATTGGAAAAAATCACGACCACTTGCTGGTTTCTTAACCTCCACAACTATTTTCCAGTTTGTGTGTATATAGCATCTGTCTTGGTTACGTTTCTCTCCTTGCTGAGACAAAATACCCGACACCCAAAATTAAGGAAGGAAAGGTTTAGCTCACAGTTTTATTTATTTATTTTTTTTTATTTTAAAGAGTAAAAGAAAGATAAAATAATAATAGGGGGGCTTACCAAATTACAGACAAAGTGGTAGGAAATTATCAATGGTTATTGTTTTACATATTGTTATCTACAAGATAGTTTCTCAGGAAAACAAATAGACAAATAATAGTGAGTTACAGACAAAAGAGGTAGGAGATTAACAATCGTTGTACTATACTTAGGTATCTTCAAAGTGGCTTCTAAAGAAAATAAATAGAGCTATACATGAGTGACCTATTGAATAATCATTAACTTTTCTCAATGTTTGTTGTAGGAAACACATAATGATAGACATGCATCTATTTACAAAATAGGATAGAAACAATACAAACATTGCAGAGTTATGGATAGATTAGTAGGAAAATATCAATGGCTGCTGTAATGCATGGTGGTATCTTCAAAGTGGTTTCTCAGGAAGACAGAGATACACAAGAAGAATCTAACAAGTAGTTACAGCCTAAGGGTTGTCAAAAATCAAGTGAGCCTTCTGGGGCAAAAGCCATTTTTTGTAGCGTTTTCTCTCCAGCCTCCCATCGCATTGGGACCCCACAACCAGTTAGTGTCCTCTCCCAAATTGTCATCACAGGTAGCAGGAATCCTGCTGCAGACTTCTCTGGAGCTCCACCACAGCCTGTACTGTCAGGGGAAGAATGGCTTCCAGGGAGTCTCCGCAGTTATTGTGCAAGGTCCTCCTGGTTTACAGCTTCCGAGCGGCTCTCATGACCCCAGTCCACAGGACCTCTGACTCCGTAGGCTTAGTCTGCATTCTCATGTTCTCCGAGTCCTTGTTCAGCAGCTGCTCCTCTGCTGACTCTGGACCTTTCTGGTTCTCAATGGCAGGAGCAAGAGTGACCCATTGTATGGCATGTATTTCCAAGGGTTTCTCCATGTTTGAATGATTCACACACATCCGTGGGTGGGCATCTGCAGACAGTGCATGGTGGGCCAATTGTGTCATTGTTTCTCTGTGTCATGGTAGTTCTCAATTGAGCAGCTCCCCCTTCACTGGGGGCCATCCTTCCGGGCACCTACGAGGCAGGGAGCAAGCCAGCCAGAAGACCGGCACTCCCCACCCATGGATCCCCATGCACTGAAGGCCCTCTCTCTGGGTGCCTACGAGGGAGGGAGCGAGCTGGTCAGAAGACCGGCATAGCTCACAGTTTGTAGAGGTTTCAGTCCATACTCAGCTGGCTCCAAGGCCAGGTGGCATGGC